TGCTGCATCTCTGAACTTCAAGTATGTTACAAGCATCTTGTTGTTAGAAATATCTGTGCTTTCATCAATAACAAGTGTATGCTAGGAAGAGAGGTGAAACTCCAGCATGAAATAGTTGATTGACTCAAAAACTCGAAAGCATAGTTTGTGCTATATAGATTTGCTGGTGCATGCAGGTGCTTTGCCTTGTGTTCATTAATATTTTGCATGGAGTTCATGAAGATTTCATTTGTACTCCAAGCAGAATATTTATCTATGAGAAGTTTTATTTCATTTAGTTTTGAACATTTTCTTTTCACCAATTCCAGTCTCTGCTGTTTTTTCATTAGTGGTTTCTAATAGAATATTTCACAAGTCAAAGAATTTATGCATCTAATTTGTACACCAGATTGATGACTTTAAATAAATGCCTCTTCATATAATCCAACTTCTGTCTATCTTCCCATTTTTCGCCTGAAAAGAAGTTGCTGGATATTCTAGCTATAGCACAAATTTTGCAGATCAAGCCCACATCAGCACTGCACTGGATTATTTCCCTCAGTTGTATACAAACCTTGCCTCTAGATTGTTGCGATTATGTTTTAATTATTTCATCCAACCACTTTCTTTTGAACATGAGGCAGCATTTCTTCTTAGGATTTGCCCCTTTGTTGGTTGCTGCTGTTTGCCTTCATTTAAACACAGCTCTTCAAAGGATACACTTTTGATAATAAATAGACTATCCACAATAAATCATTAAATAATAAGTAATAATTTTTAAAATTCTACATTAAACCCTGACTTTTTACTGTAGGCAAGACTTTACCCACAGTGTTTATATGTTTGATGTGAGAGAAACAACTTGGAATTGTTTATAATTACACTGAACCACAACATTATTAGATTGAACTGAAAACCCGGTAAAGTTAGTACACATAAGTACTTTTATCAACAGAACACACCACATTACAAATATAAATTCTATCACTTTTACTGGGTGAAAATCAAGAGAGTAGCAACTGCATGTTACATTGCAATTACACCATGCCCACATGTCCTTGCCAGCATGAAGAGAGCTGTCAGCATCAGTCCAGTGAATAAAGAGCAAAATTCAGTTTATTTTCTTTCTTTGTTCCTATCTCAAACATAATGAAGCCTTGATATTCTGACAAACATTTCTTGGACTGAATCTACCAAGATAACCACAAGTTGCTGTCACTGAGTTTGCACGTGACTGTCATAATCGAATTTGTGGCATTTGATGGATTTTTGTGCAGTTATTCCAGGGCACATCTTAGAGGGCACACTGTTTCTGGTCTTCTGGTCTTGACTAAGGTCTCAGCTTGAATCACTTACAAAGTACTGGGCAGCTGCACTCAGTCCTTAGATAACTCCCTATCTTTAGGTTGATTACATTTGTTCCATGATCAATTCCTGTCTTAATTTGAAAAAGGACACCAACATAGCAAAGAAGAAGGGTACCAACACAGAGGTCAAACAGCAACTATGGTAAAACAAAGGGCAATTTAGCAATTGGCCCTATGTTAATAGGTTATGATAATGAGTTATGAGAATGGGTGTATTTAAACCATGTTATTCAACTGTAATTATTTAGGCCTATTATATTTTAAAAATAGCCTGAAAGTGCCATTGACATCAGCAGGCTCAGGATTTCACCAATTGTGTACTTTGATTGTAATGTCTTCAAGGCAAGGACTATTCACATTATTTGCACAATGAATTTCAGCCCTTATTTATTTGTAACACAAATAAGGGCTGAACTTCAATGTGCAAATAAAGTAATACAAATAAATAAGAAGAATTGTGCTATTTTTATATATAATAGTTATTTGGCAAGACTTCAGAGGAATACTTTGCAAAGTGTACTTTCCCAGAATCATTTACAAAGCAGATATTGCATCTCAGAAGCATGACTAGATAAATGATACAGTAATAGAGATACAAAAAGGAGAAAAGAAACCATTATTACAGAATGTGGTGATTCACTGTGGTCCAGATTCTGTAGATATTACTTAGGGCCTGTCGCTCTAAGATCTAAAACCCTACCTCCATATATTTTTCCAAATGTACTGTAGTCCCAACTTCAAAAGAATAAAAGTATAATGCATATTTCTGAGAAAATTATTTCTCTAAAACCGTCTAAATTCAGCCCTGTCTTTCATACTTACAGTGGATTTTGCAAACCTTGTGCAGTTGCAACTATTTAGAACAAAGGTCTAGACAGGACAGGAATCAAATATAAGGGCTTGGGAGTTAAGAGAACTCTGGGTATCCTGTAATATTGTGAAAGAGACCTATAATTGAATTTAATAACCAGGTTCTTAGTACTAGAACAGAAGATAAAAAGAAAAGTAAAAAAAAAAACTAATAAAACTGGACAATAGATTGCCTTTGTTTCAACTCTCAATAGATGAATTATCTGTCCTATAACTACTTTTGATAAATTCACATAAGCATGTTTCAATAAACACAGCTCACAAGGTTTCTAATAATCATACTGTATAGTTGCTTTCTGTTACGCAGACATATGGACAAGGTAAAAATTAAGTGCTCAAAATTTATCTATCTATCTAGTCCATCTAGTTTTGGTATTTATAAGATGTTTGTTACATTTTCATCTAATAGTATTTTCATGATATACTAGTTGAATGAATACAATTAATGAAGTAATCATAAGCCTTCCAAACCAGTGCTGTTCCTCCCCTGGAGTCTTTAGGTTCCTTCCCTCGGGTGTACCAGCCAAAGAGAAATAAAAAAACAAATTGAAAGAGACAGATAAATACCCAGAAACCATCTACTTCAAGACAGACCCAAGAAAACCAACAATAGAACACCACTTGTCATCACCTATAGCCCCCAACTTTAACCCGTCCAATGCATTATCAATAAACTACAACCTATACTGGAACAGGATACTGTACTCCGAGAGGCTCTGGGAGACAAACCCATAGTCTCCTATAGACAACCACCTAACCTCAGGTTGATTCTTACCTACAACTATAGGACATACCACACTAATACCAACCCTGGAACTTTCCCTTGCAACAAACCCCGGTGCCAGCTTTGTCCACATATTTACTCTGCTGACACCATTATTGGACCTAACCATGCCAGTTACAAGATCAAGAACACATATTCCTGTTTATCCAGAAAGATAATTTATGCCATCATGTGGCTAAAGTGTCCATCTGCTATGTACATTGGACAAACTTCTCAGACACTTCGCCAAAGAATCAATGCACACAAAACAGACATAAGACTCTCTCACAGAGAGAAAGCTGTTGCTTGCCATTTCAGCCAGACTGACCATTCCTTCAATGACCTTAAAACATACATATTGCTTCAAAGAGATTTTAACTCCAGACTTCAAAGAGAAGCTTCAGAATTGTCATTCATGCTTAAATTTCATAGAATCATAGAATACTAGGACTGGAAGGGACCTTAAGAGGTCATCGAGTCCAGTCCCCTGCCCTCATGGCAGGACCAAATACTGTCTAGACCATCCCTGATAGACATTTATCTAACCTCCTCTTTAATATCTCCAGAGATGGGGATTCCCACAACTCCCTGGGCAATTTATTCCAGTGTTTGACTACCCTCTTGCTGCAGTTTAAGTCCATTGCTTCTTGTTCTATCCGCAGAGGCCAAGATGGACAAGTTTTCTCCCTCCTCCTTATAACACCCTTTTAGATACCTGAAAATGGCTATCATGTCCCCCTTCAGTCTTCTCTTTTCTAAACTAAACAAACTCAGTTCTTTCAGCCTTCCTTCATAGGTCATGTTCTCTAGACCTTTAATCATTCTTGTTGCTCTTCTCTGGACCCTCTCCAATTTCTCCACATCTTTCTTGAAATGTGTGCCCAGAACTGGACACAATACTCCAAGGCTACGTCTACATTGGCAAAATATTGCGCCAAAGCGGCAACTTTTGCGCAAAATCTTGCCACCTGTCTACACTTGCCACCTGTCTACACTGACATTCTAATGTATAAAATCAGTGCTTCTTCGCAACTACTCTGACGCTCCCACTCAGGGATAAGCCCTCTTGCGCAACTGTTCTTGCGCAAGAGGCCAGTGTAGAAAGGCAACGTTAATTTCTTGCGCAAGAAAACCCGATGGCTAAAATGGCCATTGGAGCTTTCTTGCGCAAGAGAGCGTCTATACTGGGACGGATGCTTTTGCGCAAAAGCACATCTCTTGCGCAAAGGCACATGCAAGTGTAGACGCTCCCTTGCGCAAATTCTTTAACGCAAAAACTTCTGCGTTAAAAGTATTTGCGCAAAATCATACCAGTGTAGACGTAGCCCAACTGAGGCCTAACCATTTGACACTTTATGTATGGGTCTCTACAAAGATTCTAATTATCTCACTCATTACAAAGATAGCTTCCCCAATTATCACCCCTAATGTCATTACCTCACAGACACTAACCTTCCCCCCTCACCTCCACTCTGTTCTAAAATTTGATTTGTCAATTTAATATGTGTTCATTTTTTTTTGATTGTATCACTTTGGTATATATGGTTATGCCAATTTTCTTCCACAAATTGATCTGAGGAAGTGGATCTAGCTCATGAAAGCCCATCACCTAATAAACCATCTTGTTAGTCTTTAAAGTGCTACATAGTTCTGTCTTTTGTTTCAGCTAGACCAGACTAACAGGGCTGTATCTCTATCACTATTCTACTTTCCTATTGTTTTTAAAGATTCCCCTTTTGCATGGGAAGTCACCTGGCCAGTCTGCCAAACACAGCTAAGACTTAAGGACAAAAGGCTATTTTCATATAATTGCCCAGACATTGAGGCCTCCGAACAGTGGAATCACCCTAGATGGCTTTAAATTTACACATTTAAAATTCATAAACCATTTTCTGTACCCCATATGTCTAATTTTACACACAAGAATGATACATACACCAAAATAAGATAAACAAATCCAATGGATTAAGAGATGAAGATTGATAGGTTACATGAGATAATTTGCCCAAAGCATCTTTGAATTATGTGTATTTGTGCCCATAAGTCCATTTCATAATGCATGGCGGGGGGAGGGGGGACCCCGTCACAATAGACTCCATCTTTGCTACCCTTCTTCACAGACTTTCATACCCTTTTTCCATTGGCAGGAAGCAGAGACTGATTCAAATGAGTTAGAATTAAAACTTTGATGCCACAGAGGCTACAGAAGGACAGCACATGCGTCGGAGGAGTCCTTCACTGGTCACCTGATCTATCTAACACCTGAATCTACTCACTGGTTCCAGGGACTTGCCTATTTCATCAGTTTCTGGTTCCAGATGAGACGGTCCTGAGTTCTACCTGTCTCCAGTACCCTAAAGCAAAAGGACAGAGAGTTATTTACCGTGAGCAGCTTTGTTCATAACCAATTGATTTGTTCGTCTCATAAGGGGCCAGAGGAATCCTACAAGTACAGTTTTAGGGATTAACTTTGTATTTGCCAAGGATCATTTGGGCACTGGTCCTTAGGCCAATTTTGGGGCAAACACAAAGTTGTTTTTAAGTTTATCTGCTTTTCCAGTTCCTCCCTTATATTGTTAACACTCCCTCAATAAATCCCAGTTTTGTTTTCAAAGTACATCATTCTAGTTAGGCTTCTGTTCCTTACCTGGTGGGCTGTGGCAGGATTATTGGTTACTTATTCCCCAGATGATAGAGATACTTGTTTGCCAGTCCAAGAACCTTGCCCAGTTACCTAAGAACACATAATAGTTGGGCTGTGTCTACACTGGGCCACTTATTCCGGAAAAGCAGCCGCTTTTCCGGAATAACTTGAAAGCTGTCTACACTGGCCGCTTGCTTTTCCGGAAAAGCACGGACGATCTACTGTAAAATCATCAGTGCTTTTCCGGAAAAACTATGCTGCTCCCGTTCGGGCAAAAGTCCTTTTCCGGAAAACTGTTCCGAAAAAGGGCCAGTTTAGACAGCACAGTAGTGTTTTCCGCAAAAAAGCCCCGATTGCGATAATGACGATCGGGGATTTTTTGCGGAAAAGCGCGTCTACATTGGCACGGACGCTTTTCCGGAAAAGCATCCTGCCAATTTAGACACACTTTTTCCGGAAATACTTATAACGGAAAACTGTTCCGTTTTAAGCATTTCCGGAAAAGGGTGCCAATGTAGACACAGCCTTGTAGTGACCACATCAGAATTGGCAGAGGCGTAAGCTCTGGCAGTAGCTGAGTATCTATCTGCCAGGCTGCTTGTTTTTTTTTTATTGTGTCCTTTCTGTACCTTATTATCTGCTTTGTGGTTGCAGATAGAACCTATGGTAGAGTTGGTGGTTGCGGTGAACAGCTTGCTGAGACAGATGCTTTGGTCTCCTCCAGCGCTGGTACAGAGTTGGAGTTATAGCCCATAGCACAGTAAGGCTATGTCTACACTGCAGAGCTATTTCGGTATACCAGAAGTATCCCAAAATAGCTATTCTGTGTCTTTTGAGTGTGCCTGTTATTTTGAAATAAAACGGGGCTCTCTATAACAATGGTTAAAGGATGTTTCAGAATAGTGCTTTATTTTGAAATTACCTCAAAATAAGCTACACAATTTGCATAGTGCAAATTGTGTAGCTTATTTGGAGGTAAGGGTGCAGTGTAGATGCACCCTAATAGACACTGAGATCAGCTCAGTTATGAGAAGGCCCAGTCAAAGGATGAGCAACTGCACAGCACCCGGGTACACAGCCCCAGTATGGGACCAGAGCCCCAAATAAATCTGTCTTACTCCATATAAAGTGTTATATGGAGCAAGCTCATAAACTGCTTGCCCCTTTATCAATGAAAGAGAGACTTGCATAGCTGTCCCCTGCCCCCAAAACAATTATTTACACCTGGTGTATTAACAATCCATCTTAGACTGAGGCAGGGACACTTGGCAAGGGGCCCAGTCCAGAGACATGGAGGGTGGCTGGCTCAGGGTTTGGTGATTTGAGCCAGCCTGGGATTTGAGGTTAGGGAGGGGGGTCCAGGGCCAGAAGTCTGCCTGGGGTATGGGGTAGTGATTGGGGGCCAGGGCCAAGGGTTAGGGGCCTTAGCCAGGGCCAGATGGATGAGGTCACGCAGCCTACTCCATGCTGGTGCTCCCTGGGTCCAGCCCAGGAGTCCTTACAGGCTCTCTTGTTGGTACTCAGTGAGGGGCAAAAGGAAAGTCCCCCACTGGCACCCCCTGGGCCCAGCCTGGGAGGGGGGGGGGAGAGGGTCAGAATTGTAGGGGGGACTGTACAGGCCTTTGCCAGAGGAGTGGTGGGAAGAAATGGAAGAGTGTGCAGGTTGGGCATCAGTGACCATGCTGGGCATCCCAGCAGTGCAGGCTGGGGTGTGTGTGGCACCAGTGATCCTGTGGGGAGGTGAGCAGGGGTGTGCTGGCTGGCCCCAGTGATGCTCTTGTGGGGAAAGTCTCACAGCAGTGGGGTTAGAGTGAGGAAGGGTTCTATGCAGGGAGAACACTTAACAGTGGCAAGCAGGATGCCAGAACCCCATCCCAAGCTGGCTACTCCCTCTGTGGTGTGGCTGCTTCCAGTGATCACTCTGCAGTATAGCTCTCCCCTGCTCTCACTGCCTCCATTAGTAAGTATAAGGATTGTGTCCCTCCTACCTCCCTTTCCATGTTATGGAAAACTATCAAATTCCAGGCACATCCCATTGTCCTGGCACAGTCAAACCCTGACTTTGCTTTAAGTTAGGCTAAGAGGAATCTGCATACCACATTTGGTGGTCCCAGCTCTTACCCTTTAGGAGAAGTTCTTTAACAAATCAGCTCACAGACAGAAACCTCTTTTATGTATTTTATCTATCTAAAAATATAGATATAAATAATATTTGTCAACAATTCCAAAATTTAAGAGCTGACCTATATAAGGAATGAAAATTGAATAGTTTACTTAATGCCACTCTGAAGATCTAACACGTTGTTTGTTATGAAAGCAGATCATACTAGTCTTTGTCAGCTCAATAAAATCATTGTTTGTTTTAAATTAAATCATTAAATAATCCCGTTTTCTGAACTGCTTACAGCACTGTGCAATTATTCTAACATTAAATTCCTAATCATTCTTCAAAATATCATCACTGTTGATTTTCTTCATCATCCTTAAGACATTTCAACATTCTTAAGACAGTCTATGATAAATTAAAAGGCCCGTTTTAATTAAATAAGTGTATACATTCTTTCATCAAAGTAGCTTATTCACAAAATATTAATTTAATAAAAATGAAATTTCATATCCGTGGATATTTCTAAAGTTTGGATGGCATTACTGTATATGTGTGTTGCTTTTCATCATTACAACTTAATTAATTTTAGATTTTGGCACACTCCTGCCATATTTTGCAACATTTTTGTTTAGGTAAGTATTGAATTTCATCATAAATCTTATTTATTATTGACTGTGGACAGAGTTTTGTAAAATGATGAAAAAATACCACTGTATTAAAATATTACTACTTGTTCCCAAGTTGTTCATGATTTTGGTGAACTTAAAACAAGCCTAAAAATTATATAGTGCTATGGTTTTGCAATACAGCCAAATACTCTGACAATGGGAAATCTAGGCATTGAAAAAAAATGCAGGATCAATCCAAAAATATGTATTGCACAAATAAGAAATAACTATTGCTTTATGTGTTGAAAAAGCAGAACAGGTGAAACTCCCAACAATGTGGCTTTGAAGATTGTCAATTGGACAGGATATTTTCAACTTAAAGGACAAAAATAATTTCCATGATGACCTCTATCATATATTCTTTATACACTTAAAATTCCCACTTACTTCAATGGAAATTTTTTCAGTGCACAAGAAATGCATCATAGCCCCTGTAAAAGGAAAGCTTCAGTGAATATGATAAATGTTCAGGGAAAAAAAAAAGGTTAGTACTAATCACAAGTGTTCATTAATAATGTGGTAACCCAGGTTTACTATTATTATTGCCTGTGCAGGTAGCTATTTATAGAAATGGTTAGAGAGACAAGGTGGGTGAGATGATATATTTTATTGGAGAGCTTCCATTGGTGAGCAAGACAAGCTTTGGACCCACACAGTGCTCTTCAAGTCCGAAAAAGGTACTTCCAGAGTCACAGCAAAATGCAAGATACAACAGATTGTTTTGCATAAGACTTTAGCACATATGGTTAGGGACTGTTAAATGTAGAGTGGCCTGTTAACACCTCTACAGTCACAGGAGAAAACGAGGGGGTTAATGGGTTACAAATTGTTAAACTATAAATCCAGTTCTCGGTTCAATCCGTAATTTTTGGTGTCTATCTGAAGCTTTGTCTACACTTGAAATTGATCAACAAAGCCTTTGTTGTTCATTGGTTCTTAAAACCTGCCCACCCCCAAATGACAAAAGTTTTACTGCAGCAAGTGCAAGTGTGAATGCAATGAAGCAAAAGTTGCACATAGGGACTGGAAGTATTTTGTAGGCAAATGTGTGGATAAAGAGTTTTCACTGTTGCCTCTAGCTGGGGGAATTGCTCAACCCCCTCTTTGCCCCAAGTCCCGCCCCCACTCCACCACTTCCTCCAAGTCCCACCCTGCCTTTTCCATCTCCTTTCTTAAGTGTGCCCTGTCTCTGCTCCTTCCCCACAATAATTTCACAGACTAAAGCAATGTTCTTGGATATGCTACATGCTCTATATTCAGTGGTTCCCAACCTTTTGGGGCTGCCAGCCACCCGGGGCGGGGCCACTCATACACCGCATGCCCGGTGCCAATGCCACCCATGCGCCACACTCCTGGGGCCGGCACCACTCCTGTGCCATGCACCCGGGGCTGGCGCCACTCCTGTGCTGTGCGCCCGGGAGCGGGGCTGCCCATACGCTACGTGCCCAGGACCAGGAGAGCCCATGCGCTGCATGCTCGGGGCCAGCGCCACGCCTGTGCCGCGCGCTCAGGAGCCGGCAGCGCCTATGCGCTGCACATCTAGGGCTAGCGCTGCTCCTGTGCAGCGCGCCCAGGGGTGGGGATGCCTATACGCCGCTTCCGGGACTGGCACAGCCCATGCTCCACGTGCCCAGGGCTGGCGCTGCCCCTGTGCCGTGTGCCCGGGGGCGGGGCCAGCCCCGATCACTCGGCGGGCGCACAGAAATGCCCGGCGGGTGCCATGGCGCCCGTGGACACTGCGTTGGGGACCACTGCAAATTTGCACTCACAGCTTTTGGAGCAGAGAATGCAAAAAAGAGATGCCCAGTTCCTTCCCTGGGCTGCAGCTGGGGTGGTACAGCTGGATATCCTGATTTACAGAGGGCAAATTAAAAACACAATCTAACCCACATAGCTTAGGAAGATGCTATTTAATCATTCTAAATCTTAATTGGCTTTGTCTAGCCTGGTTTTGTTTTATAATTAATGTAAAGGCATTATTTAAATATAAAACATCATCAAATAGTTGAAAGTACTTGGAGTTGGCAGCTCAATGCAAATCTGCTGAAGTATAACTAGAGTTTAAAACCTGATCTAACTTGAACATTATACATATACAAACTGTTGAACTCAAGTTAGAATTCTCCTGTGTGTATTAAATTACAGTGCAACCCTGAGCTGACCCTTTTGAGGAAAACAATACATATAATAGTGTATTTGAAACAAAGAATGTGCTATAAGCATGCATGCATTTGAACTGCATGATGGGAGAAGATGGGAAGAGAGGTAATGTAAAGGCAATTAAAAGGTGAACAGGGCATCTTTGAAAGTCTAAAACAGAACATTTTAAAGAAAGGCATTGTATAAAAATGTGATCTGATCTACCCAACTGCTACATTCTCTGCTCCAAAAGCTGTTAGTGCAAATTATGGAGCATGTAGTTTATCCAACAACATTTGCTTTAGTCTGTCTGAGATTCTTGACTCTTTCCTTACTGAAAAGCTTCAGAGGGGTAGCTACTCTTTAAAATGCTACCATATTATTTGTTGTTGTTTAAGTTTATTCTTGATGAAAGATAGTTTGTTGCATTGCTCTGCAGAAGAATCCCTGGCTAGCTAGGAGGCTTGATTTTTGCCCTTAACTTTGCCATCACCAATAGTAAGAATATAATGATCTCACTAAATCCGCACACTATTTCTTTCCTAAATATTTTTTGTAATTTTTCTCTTTAGAGTTTCAACAAACCATTCTCTCCCCCACAGGATTGCAACAACACTGATGTTTTCCTCTATGGGATTGTTACTCCAGAGCAGAGGTGGGGAACCTTTTTTGGGTCAGGGACCACTGACCCACAGAAAAAGCATTCGGGCCCGTACAAAAAGTGAGACTCAGACAAAACAAAACAAAACAAAACCACCTCACTGACATGGCCCTTACACTCCAGAGCTAGTACATTTTGTGGGAGGGGGAAAAAAGCCTCCAGACAGTGCTTTACTGTGCAAGCCAGGAGATGGGGAGCAGCAGGCAGCACGTCAAGCTACTTCCTCCCACGCCAGGCAGAGTCTGTGGACTGGATCCAGCTCTAGCTTGCCTGACTCGAGCCTGCGAGGCTCAGGCTCCTCCCCACACAGCAAAGAGCTGATGCTGGCACTCCAGTCCCATGGGGGTCGAGGGGCACTGTGGAGGGCATGGAGCTGGAGTGCCAGCATGGGCTCCCCAATGTTGGGGGGGGCGGGCAGTCTTGAGCATTGGATCTGCCCCCTAGGCCTTAGATTCCCACCCCTGCTCTAGAATTTCCTCCACTCCCACCTTCATATACACTGAAGTACATCTGAGGGCAACTTTCAGTGTAATATTTTACAGTTTTTTGGGGTTGTTGGTTTTTTTTTTTTTGCTTGTGTGTGTTTATTTTGTGTGTGAAAGAGAGGGAGGGAGATGAGGTTTTATGCAGCTTTGCATCTACTCTTGACAACAAGCATGTAAGTAGTTTTAAATAAATTAATAATTATTAAATTTATATATGCCCTTCATCCTGAGGCACTTTAATATAAACAATATCATCACTGCAACCACCACTGAAAGATAGAGATCTTTTTATCCTTTAGGGCACATCTACACAGCAGGGCTAAAGCCAAAATAAGCTACGCAACATGAGCTACGTCACTTGTTTTCCTATTGCATGATCCTCATCCCTCCACTCTTCTGTATATCCCTCTCAGGCTATGTCTACACTACAGAGTTTTTTGGAAAAACAACTGTTTTTCCGAAAAACGTCAATTATGTCCACACTGCAATTGCGTTCTATCGAAAATAATTCAAAAGAACAGAGGGGTTTTTCCGACAGCGGTAATCCTCTTTCTACAAGGAAAAACACCTTTTCTGAAAGAGCTCTTTTGGGAAAAGGCATGTGTGAATGGAGAAAAGGGGTTTTCTTTTGAAAGAAGAGGCCTCCAAGAAATAACACAGGTGCCCTGGTGGCCACGCTGTCCAAAGTAATCACAACTCTATAGTTCCTGTCTCCTGGCCCCCCTAAAAGCTTCAGACACCCTGGACAAGCCTCGCGGCAGGAAGCTGGCCCTGGAGCAGCACTCTGACCATGCGGCTCTCCCTGCCACGGGACTGCTCACCCATGGTGCAGCATGTTGCTTTATCCCTCTGAGAAAGATCCCACGTGCTTCTTTTAAACATAACAAAAGGGCAAACAAGATCTCCCACAATTTATTGGGAATGAAATAAAAAGAAATCAGCTTATTGAAGCACAAACCATGGAGTATGTCCCTGGAAACCTTAATGAATGTAGCACTAGCGTAGATACAGAAGTCGAGTGTTATACTACATGGTTACCCTTACTTGAGCTAGGATAACTGGAGAGAAGTACCTCAAGTGTAATCAGCTTCAGTTAACTTTGCAGCGAAAGATGCATCCTAAGTCTCCAAGGGCTGGTGGGATATGTGGAGAAAAATTTGTCCATGCAATATGGTAGGAATAAATAGGTTATGAATACTTTGTGTTGCATCTGAACTGAATTGCTTTGTTTTCTGATGCTCCATGAATTCCTCAAGAGTGTGAATGAAAAATGGCTGTACAATTAAGAGATTTTCTTAGGTCCAGTGTGTCATCCTTATATGAGATTTTCTCTCCTCTGCCTTGTTACTCCTTATAATGGGGCTACTCAACACACAGTTTGCAGTCCGTGGTGAGGTTTGGGTTTACGTAGGGCTCAACACGCAACTTGTGGGTGGCATCCTTTGAACATGGCCTCCACTGGGAACACGCTCCATAATGGCAAGGCGGAGTGAGCATTGAAAGACGCAAGCGGACGGACTGGCTGGAACAGACAGGTACTGGGTGTCCGCATTTCTAACCCCTAAGGAGGAGCTGAGAGCGCTGGGACATTGTGGGAAGTGCTTTGTATTCATGCCTGTCAGTGTGAAAGAAACTATTTGAATATATTTTCATATATATTTGCATGTATATGCAACCACACTTAAGTTGCAGCCCGGCATGTGCTGTGAGTATCATTGTGGCCCCCGGGGCTTCCAACGTTAAGTAGCCCTGCCTTATAACATTCATTTTCTTAACGTTTGAAAGGCAAAACTACTTAAACAGACTTTTTGAAGAATACTGTGTACTGTAATTGGTTATGCATGTGGGATGTTTTTTAAAGAGCAGTTTTGCTGAGTAGTAGAGCCCGGGGGAAATTGTAAAATCGGTGAAAAATACTGTTGAATATAGAAAGGATTCCCTCCCCCCCCCGTAATCATTGACATATTTGTTCAAAATAACTCATTTAAATCATTGCTGTAGTGTGAGAGAAGTAGGTATAATAGTACCGTCACAGAAAAATACAACGTATTTTATAGTAATGGTCTAAATAAGGGATGTAAAATCCTGTTTAACTAGTTAAAATTACACAGGAGGGATTGTTCCAGCCTATTGGGCTGGAGCATTCTCTTTGGTCCTATGGCTGGACTGGAGTGGCCCCCGTGCTGCAGGCAGGAGCTGCTCCAGCCCAGCTGCTTCCAACCCTGCAATGCTTCCAACCTTGCCAGCTCCCAGCCTGTGTGGGCTAGGAGCCAGCAGCCTCTTACAGCGTTGATAGGGGAGAAGGCTGCTGGCTAGATCCATAACCCTCCCCCTGCTGCCACTTCTGTGCCACACAATGCTGCTGACTCCCAGCCTACAAGCCCACATGGGTTGGGAGCCGGCAGCCCTCCCCACCCCATCCATGA